TAAGACGAAGATAGAGATAGCGAGCAAACAAGATGATTGAAACACACTAGATAAACTCGTAAACTGGGAGACACTGTGGGACGCGATAATAAATCCAAGTCAGTGGTGTCAATGCATTATTACTTATTCAACATGTAATAAAAGGATGAAAATTTGAAACTACGTGCAACGAAGAAACGAAAACTTTTTGTTACTCCTTCACACAGAAGCAGTAGATAGCAATGGGTAACACGTTCATAATGAGGAAATGGAACTTTGAAGACAAAATCGATGACAATATGGACATCGTAAACTAACCTGGCAATTGATGATATCGTTAGGCATCTTAGGTGCCGTAGAATACTCGAGGTACGCATGTACATGGTGGGCTAAAATAAGAAAGGTCAATCGTACTATTTGGACTAGAGGCAGCAATATTGAATAAAACAAAAACGATTTTTGTGAACAGACGTTTATTGAGCAATGTGGAATTTATCGTAGCAATCAGAAAGACGCTGAACTGTGACCTGCAGGAGGCGCAAACGGAGTAAAGTTGCATCGTTTGCCATTAGCGAAGCCTCGAACTGTTTCTTCTGTTCGTGATCACCGGCCTTTTGAATATCATTCGATAAAGCATACGCATTGGCTTGCAGACGATTACACTCAGTGTCAAGATCATTCCTCAGTGGAATCAAGAACTTCGAAGCAAACTTAGGTAAGCCGTCAGAGGTACGAAGCAAAGACTTCAAAACGTCATTTGCCACTGCAGATTCCATGTCTTCTCCCATTAATGCATCACATCGTAGGAAAATGTACAGAGCCATATTTGCTGCAGCCAGCAGCCAACTACTTTGATCTACCAGTGCATCACTGGATGAAGTATTTGGGTAAACAAAAGTCATTTCACAGAAACACGCGAGCACACTTCGTTGCAGTGGTAGCTGTGGATCCGATTCACCCATGAGTCTTTCTACTTCGATTAATTCTTCAATCCCAGACTTTTGAACTGAAACCCAACAACTATGCAGGTTATCTTTGCACAGGGTTATTAGGTGACCGCGCAATCCATGATGGTCATTAACTTTTGAAGGGAGAAATTCGTAGAACAATTGACACTGAGCAGTGTATGAGCTACGTCCCACCAAATTATCGATAGTTTGTATCGTTTTGTTAATGACATCTGGCAGCTCCTCTGTAGATATTGACTGCTTTGATATGGCTTTCAACAAATTCATGTACTGTATACGTTGCGGATACCACCATGACATGGTGAGGGGCTGTGAAAGAGCAGACAGCCTATCAAGTACCTCAACAGCATTTACTTGTATTCGTAGATAAATGTCTCTGGGCAAAGGAGGAATGCCTGTTGAGCTGGGAGCGTCTAACAGGTTTTTTTCGTAAGTACTGTCAAGTAATATTACAAGAAACTCGTGGAATATATTGATGTAATGTTGAGGGGATAATATTAAAGGCCAACAATTGTTCAACTCTGAACGCTCGGCATCTAATAGAACATAAGTTAAAACTCGAAACCATCCGGGAATGGTGAAATGAAACTGTGTGGCTTGGTCACCACGACAATCACAAAGAAGGGTAACGGTCTCTAAGCAGGAAGTGTAAAGACCCCGTAAAACAAAGTTCAAAATACGAAGCGAATTTGAGTAAAGTGAACAGTGCTCCTGAGTGAAATCAATTACAGACAGTGGTTGTGCAAACAAAAACAATGCATGCTCCTTTAGGAGGGCTGCATCAGCATCATTTAACATCGAACGACAGATCTTCGCTACTAAGGAACAGTAGAAATCAACAGAGGATTTGAGAGTCTGGTAAAGAGGTTTGAAGTCTCCCGAAGCTAATGATTTCGCGGATATGGAAGACAATGATTGTGTAACATCATTAAAGGTAGGGGTCACCCTTTGAAACCTGACATGCTCTAACTCCGAAATGCAACGTGTGAGGACATTCAGCCAAATATAAAACGCATGTTGGCCCCTCATAGAATGTACCATACCAGAAATAACGATGAAAGTTTCTTGTTTGTCGAACAAAATAGGCATTGTCATAAGATATTCCTGTAGACACTGGCTGATGCGATCTGCCGCCAAAGTACGTTGAGTGGTCAGTTGATTCGACGCCCAGTACACGAAAAAGGCAAGGTTTTCACCAATAACCTTCAGGGAGGTGTGCTCACGAAGATAATGTTTAAGTTCCTCATGGAGTCCAGCGTGTATTAAATCATCCATACATTTCGTGAC